GACTACGAAAAAACTAAATTGTGCTCAGGAAATATCAAAATGTTCCAAAAATGAGGCCTAAATTAGAATATTTATGGTAGCATGTATGAACTGTAAAGTGTATAACAGCAATATTCATCTAGATCTTAAATTAAATTGTATTTCATGATCAAGCAGCCTGTCGACTGAAATAGCTCCGCTGTTATCAATGCACATTTCAATTAAAGAACAAAAGATATCATTAGAAAATGAACAATATGTTGCTGTTTTCAACAAGAATTCCAAAATATCACTTTTTACCAAAAATGACAAAAATATTCATCAAAATTAGACAATTGAAGATATCATCATGAAACGAACAAATCAGAGAGAGGTCCATATATAGTACCTATACATGTAATATCAAAGCAATTGGACTTACGGTTTTTAACAAGAAGTCAAAAATATCACTTTTTACCAAAAATATTCACCAAAATTAAAGAATTAAAGACATTATTACAAAATAAACAAATCTGAGAGAGGTCCACATGTAGTACCTATATATGTAATATCAAAGCAATTGGACTTGCAGTTTTTAACAACATTACTTTTTACCAAAAATGACAAAAATATTCACCAAAATTAGAGAATTGAAGTTATCATCATGGAATGAACAAATCTAAAAGAGGTCTACCCAAGGTACATATACACCAAGTATCAAAGCATTCAGGCTTTTAGCTTTCAAGTAGTCGAAAAAATAAAACATTGACACGGACGACGACAATCACTCATATGATAAGCTCCGCTCGACAAAGTCGACAGCGGAGCTAAAGATACAAGTAGGAACAAGGTGCTATTTTATGAAACTTGTCTGGAGAGTATATTAAATACCTTCATATGGCTTTTTTCTTGTAATAACTTCCCATATAACAATGGCAAAACTACATAAGTAAAAGACAATAAACAATAGAGTTAAGTATATTCATAGAATCTATGGCAGACTTTACTAAACATAGTTGAACTCTGGTGACCTTGCCCTTTGTTATATAATATTATTCCCTTCATCATAGTTTGTTTCAATATGAATATGCATTGTCATAAATAATTTTGAATACAAACAAGTTTTAGGGTTGAAACAACAGTGGGGAATCAGTCTACCGAATTTCCTTGATTGATGTAAATATCTTACAAAAACATTGGTACCTAATTTGTTTAATTATTTTAAGGGACATAATTTCAAGCTTTATTCAAAGTAATTCAGATATTTTAGTATAAAAACAAATGCTTCATCTCAAAAAAAAAAGTGCTGCATTCAGACGTGAATAGATTCATAAAACATGCAAGATAACAGAAAATCTTAGCTGGCTTTCGTCCAAGTATTTGTACAGGTGTCTGTCAAAAATTAATTGTGTGACTACTGTATTATTTGAAAAGATAAAAAAACGCCCTCTATGAATAGCTATCATGTTGCAAACTCTGCTTTGTATGCAAATCAACTTAAATAGTTAGTTGGTGTCCAGTGGAGAGAGAAGTCAAAAGTATCGTTGCCTCCTGAGAATCTACATCTTCAAACACTGCAATCTTTGTTTTTGAAGTGCATTTTTAAATTATTATTATTATAAAAGCTCTATCATTCTGTTCTTATAGCTGAAACAAATTCCTGCGAATTTTCATCTGTCGAATGAACTGCTGTCAAATACGTAATACCTATTTTTGAGTACAATTTTCTTTACAAAATGTTGATGCAACGTTTTGCTTTTTATATATTGTTTTTGATTTGATAACTTTGGACTAAACAAATTTTCTATTAGCTTCAGATCTTGATCAAAGTTTGGCACCCAGTTTATAGGAGTGCTTATATTGATTTTCTGACATCTTGTTTTCTGTAAAGATTTTATTGGTAGGTTTGCAAATGTGTATCAGACTTGTGCAAAAAATCTCTCCATGAGTTGGTTTTGAAACCCAGTCTAGTAATTCTATGGGATTTGGGAGATACATTACCAACAATATTATTAGAAGATAAATGATTTGCTTCATTGAACAGATACAACGATGCATATTTCCACTGAGATCAGTGACCTTTGAATGTGTATCACCGGTAGAAACAGTCAACAGTCAAAATATTTTATCAGATTTTCTAAATTTGTGAATGATATTTTCATACAGGACATCTGTCATTCTTACTCAGGGAAGACTTTATACTGATGAATAAGGTGACCAAGTTTGATAAAGTTTGGAATAGAATTAGTAAAGTTATTGTGCACACAATAACAATTATTAACGACGACAATGATACCGCTGATGACGACAATAATGCCGGACAGAAATTTTTCCTTTAATATACCTTTCCCTTCCATCTTTGATGGTACGGGCAAGGTAAAAAGGCGTTTTCCTCAGTCAGACACATAACGACTATGAAATAATGAATACTGGCACAAAAATTGTTTTTACAATGCAAATTATAATAATTTCTCTTTGAGTCATCAAAACTGAACTATGACCCATACTTTTGTATATCCTCGGGGGCGAACATCCGGGCATTTTCACCGCCTGGCAACCCACGGCGGTGAAAACAAAGGCCCAAAACTCGCAGAAAACGGTACTTTGGGGGTGATTGTTGAGACTCCTCTGACCAGTGCAACAAGATTAGCCCTCCGTGTGTAACATATATGAATTTGATTGTTCAGGATTACTTCAAAGTTGAGTTTGTGTTGTTTTCTCGAGTTTTCACCGGCTAGACCGGCGCTCCACAGCAGCGCGCACAGAGCCCATAGAAATGCATGGTACAGTGGTGCGCGTCTTAGCAACATGGAACGTCTTGTGACGTAGCTCCGCCCCCGAGGATACCGATATATGGCAGAAGACATGTGAACTAGTGCGCCCTCTAAGTCCATATGACACGCCACGGATGCACGGTTGTACTAAGCAGGTGATTGGTGAAGAAATGTGATAAGCTTCCAGTGACTGTACATGCAAGTACAGACAATATGTAAATAAATACTGATTATTCAAAAAAACTAATCAAACAAGTTATTGCATTATTGTGAGTTATCAAATTTAAGAATTATATACGAGTATGAACACTCATAACATATCAGATTTACAGAACTGCATTCATTAAAACAAAATATCTATGATTCCACCATTTTGAATTTGATGTGCATCAAGTTCCCATAATGTCCAATGTACATACATGTACCAAGTT